TGAATCTGATGAACTCGGTTTCCACATCGTCCTTGAGCAGTTGGTTACTTTTACATTCCTACTTTCGTTTCCGATTTCGATTTTAACATCTCTCCGAATCAACTAGTAGGAAGAGCGAGCGAAGGATTCGTCGCCTAAAACACACCTCCCTCTGAGCCATATAGTGGTGAAGACATGAATACGCCCTTGCAAGGTTACGTCACAACTCCAGGGTGGACCAAGTTGCACGACCAGCAATAAACCAGCCTCAGTACCCCGCACACTGGGTGCTCCCGTCTATGACGTCAGGTGAGACGACCAGTGAAAGGCCAGAAAATCTCGGGTTACACAGGACGTCATTGGAACCGCATCTGACGAACACACGCACGACACGCCATGGAGATTGTTTCTTACTATGCACGTATAATGCCAGAACACTCTCCACAGGCGCCGATCTTCACGCTCTTCTTGTAGCCGTAGATCGCATTACAAGAAACAAAAATCAAGAAGACCGACATACACCAACTAAACAACAGGACCCTTGTGATCCGTGCAGAAAAGGTCCCGTCACTAAATGTCGGTGGTGTAGGCTTTGTCGCCCACCCGTCCATTGTCCATCTCGTTGATTCATACGTGATCCTTTCCCCTCGCATAGCCGTCCTCCGTCTTCAACTATCGCATCGTAAGAAGATCACTATCATGAGTTGCTATTCACTGGTCGTGGCAGCTGAATAGTACGTGAATATAATTAAATGCGTTCTACTACCACTTGGAAAAAGTTATTCGCAATGATAAAGCATAACATAAATTTGTTGTTGGAGACTTCAGCGCCAGAATAGGAAAGGGCAACTAGAGCGAGTACAGGATCTGAAGTTTTGGACTAGGAGAAAGAAAAGAGAGTGGGAACCGTCTGGCAAGACTTCTGTCAGCAGTACGTCTCTTCTATGGAAACTCGTTTTTTCAGAAGAAAGAAAGCTGTTGCTGGACATGGGAGTCTGCCAACGGCATGACTCATGCGGAGATCGACCATATTCTGGCAAACAGAAGATGGTGCCTGCTTGAGTCATCGGTAGTCCCGTCATTTTGTACTGGTTCCGATCACTGCCTTCTTCGCACGAAGATTCGATTCAGCCGCAAGCTGGAAAAGCACTCTCTTCATCGACTACGAGGAAAAAGTCTAGCTGCATACGACGAGAACATTCTGAACGAAGTCCTGTCCAAATGTGACTGGCAGATTAAAGGAGACCAGACCGAAGACTACGAGCTGCTTGTCGAAGGACTGAAATACTGTACTGAATTTGCCTCGGTTCCTCAAGCAAGAAGATTGGATCGCATCTCCATCACTATTAAGGTGTGGCTCGAAAAGAGAAGGAAACTGAAGCTCGATCCTGCTGCAACACGTTTAACATGGCTAGTAATAAATGCCAGCCGCAGAAGAGCTTTGCAGGAAGATCTACAGCGGTACAAGCAGAAGAAAATACTGGAAGCAGTAAAGAAAAGAAGCAGTTTGAAAAAATGCCGTCGGGACTTGTGTGATTATAATGTTTCGCTGTCAGCCCTGATGAACGAAGATGCGATCGTCAAAACTTTCCGCCATGGTATGGAATTGATAGCGGAAACGTTCCACACCAACCTTTTCAGTTCCAGAATCCCCGTCCAGGGCCCTAATATCCCCGCTGGAGAAAAACCACCTGGAATTCTTCCGTAGGAGGTTCGAGTTGCGATAGAAAGCATGAAAAGAGGCACAGCTCCAGGACCCGATAATGTTACCGCCGGCTTCCTTAGAGCTGGAGGCCACAATTTACATGTACTTTTCGCAAATCATATGACAGCCTACCTTCAAAAGAAAAAATCCCAGACGTCGCGCAAGGTCATCCTGCCCAAGAAAGAAGACCGAAGAGATCTTCGTAACTATCGTCCCATATGCTTGTTAAGTGTACTCTACAAGCTCTTTACGAAGATGATCCTCTCGCGCATATCAAGGACATTGGATGAGGCGTAACCAGTTCAGCAAGCAGGTTTTCGGAAAGGATTTTGCTGCATGGACCACATCCAAGTCGTGTCCAGGATCATCGAGGTCTGTCGGCAGTACCACTTGCCTCTAGTCCCAATCTTTGTCGACTATGAAAACGCGTTTAACAATGTCGAAACGAATGCAATCCTATCAGCGCTCGTCGACCAAGGAGTGGACCCGTCCTATATAAAAACTCTATCCGACTGTTATCAGAATCACTACGAAAATACAGCTTTTCCATCGACCTCTTACCGTACCCACAGAAAAAGGAGTTCGACAGGGCGACACAATATCGCCAAAGCTGTTCAGTGCCGCAATGCAGTGAAGTTACTTGATTGGTATGAAAAAGGTATACGTATTGATGGAATATTTCTATCAAACCTTCATTTTGCTGACGACATTATCATCCTTTCGAGAAGTGCTGGAGAAGCAGATGTGATGATCAACGAGCTCAACGAAGCAGGGAGAAAGATCGGACTTCGCATATATGGAAAGAAGACCCAGTTCATGAAAAACCCATGGTGCTAAGGCGAAAACATTGAATTGGATGACTCTCTCATTCCAGAGACCACCTCATACGTTTACCCTGCGCTATCAATGAACACGGAAAACAACATGAACGAGGAACTAGATAGAAGGAGAGCAGCTTGGGTCGCATTCGGGCCTCTCAAAGAAGCCGCCGACCAACTGAAGGACCCGAAAATCTGCGCTCATCTCTTTGATTCTACGGTCCTCCCAGCGCTCTGTTATGCTGCGGAGACGTGGGTTGATACTTCAAATACGTCAAGAATGCTTCGCACTACTCACAGAGCGCTTGAGCGATGCCTTTTGAAATATAACCAGCACTCTCAATATCTAGCCGGAATGAGAAGCTCTAACCTTCGAAATCCGTCACACCTTCGAGATCGAAGGAATATACATGGACAGCGAAACATAGATGGTCCGGTCACATAATGAGGAGAACAGACGACAGGCGGACGAAAAGACTCCGAGTGGACTCCAAGAGAATGCAAACGTCCCCTTTGGCGACCACCTACACGTTGGGTGGACGTGTTCGTAAACAAAGTTAGCTGTACCCGCAGCTGCAGTTGTTTTACAAATCACGGTATGAGACTCGCAAGCGCTACCATGCTCGAACAAGACCACCACCATGTACTACGATTGCGAGAGAAAGGAACGAATGGCATATGTGGTGGAGTCCGCACAGCTCATGAAGACCGACCAACCAAGTATCCAGGTAAGTAAGTATCTGTGATCGCCTGTAAAACTACAGAAAAACTAATTCTAGTCTACTAAGTAGTAAAAGGCCCTCCATTATTGTACTGACATCATCTCTTGTACAGCAATGGCATTTAACATGTTGAGCTTAAACTGACTTTTCTTAAATCGGAGTTCAAATGAATTACGTATAAATGAACTGCTCCATCTAATTAGAACAGCCATCAAAATGAATTATATGAAGTGTTTAACGTTTTGTTTTCCGCCTTCTATAATTTTCATGGCAGGTTACTAAACGAAATACAACCACAACGTTGCTGAGATATTTGCAAAACTCTGGACCGCAGGTGTCTATGGTGGGGAACGAACGCGCTATTGTCCTTTCCGGGGAGTAACGCGTTCATCACCACACCATACGGGTCCTTCGTTTTGCCTGTCTCTCAGCTATTTCTATCGATCTTTTTGGTACAGCAATCACTCGTCAGCGGGGTTGATCTGGGGAGCGGAAATCGGCATAAGAACCCAGTTAAGCTATGGCTGTAGTTAAAATCACAATGTTTAACGTTTTGTTCTCTGCCTTCTATAATTTTCATGGCAGGTTCGATACTCTTGAAATGTTCGAAGATAACTCAGTCCTCTCGAAGTGTTGAGAATTTCCACTTTTTGGAGGTGTTTCAAAATTCTATTTCCTATCTAATTACCCTTTTATGTTTTCATGTGTGGTTCAATGGAAAATCCTATTCGCGTAAAATCAGTATTTTCTCGATTATATTTTCCTTAAAAGGCATCAAAATCCAAGCTTTTTGTAGCTATAACTCTTCTTGGACGAATGAAAACCATCTGCTCTTTGACTGACGTCGCCAAATAGCCGCTTTCAGCCATGAAGCTTTACGTCGAAAATGAAAGATTTTCAGAGAATTTCGATGGTTTGGCAACAATATTGAAGAGGAAGGTTTTGAACAATACGTATGTTCAATAATGTTGACATATTTGCAAAACTTCGAACCGCAGGTGTATGCGGTGGGAAACGAACGCGCTTTTGTCCTTTCCGGGGAGTAACGCGTTCGCCACCACACCGTGCGGGTACTTCGCTTCGCCTGTCTCTCAGCTAGTTCTATCGATCTTTGCCACAGCAATCACCATATGTATTGGGTCGAATGTTGCCATTCCGACCATTGACAGCCACATGTAACATCTTTACACCTGCGTGCCTCTCGGATTTTACTAGATTTCTTATCATTTGCCTGAGGTTTATGATCGTTAGCAATAGTCGTTGGCCATTTTTAAGAAGACCAGTTGTCAGCAGGAATTCGGAGCTGTCAGCTCAGAACGTCGGATAGTTTTGGTAGGATTATAGGTAATACATGATATGTTGATCAAAAAGAGCGCCGATGTCGTTTAGGTTCGGTCTCCACGCAATTCGTTAACGCTATTTTCTTTTACATATAAATGAATAGCACGCATTTGAGCCACTTTTAGTGGCAATTAATAGCTGAAGTTTAACTCAGACTGGAATGGTCTATCCTTCCTTTCAAGACCTAGCATAGCTTCGATTTGGCCGACGTTTTGTTCATCGAGCAAGATTTATTTCATGGAGTCGGGAAAAACAGTTGCAAGTTATTATCAGGTCGTCATCACCGTCAAACTCAGGTGCATTAGGCCAGCCATCCCATTTCGTCTTTGGAAGGCTACTTCTTTGAACTACAGTTAGAAACTTAGCATGTGTTTTGGAAAAAAGAGCAAATCTTGACGTTTTTACTTATTACTGAACCGAGTTTGATTGGGAAAATTATATTTGACCGCATCTCTGAATCCGAACATATTCCTTGGGTACACCACTCACGGTACCGTACTTCCATACAATAAATTGCAACGTGTCGAGTCCTTAAAAATCAATGAAAAAGATCCTGGAAGCAAACAAAATGTCTGAGTTAGACAAAAGTAGACAAATTATGACAGCTGAATTTTCACTCACCTTTAGTTACCTTTCCGATAACTTTTCCCTCGATATAAGGAACATCATGAGTCAAGATACAAAATATCGAAGTATAGACGGTTGGGTCAGTTTCCGTTGGCAACATTACGATTGAACCAGCGCTGAAATAGGAATGTGGTTGGAGTTTATGTTGAATTCCCAAAACCGACTTTCTTGCTGAATCTCCAAAAATTTCTCGTCTTCATGCTTGTAATTGAAGTTTTTTGTCGCTCGATGGTGTCAAAACTACTGGAGAATCGGGATCAAAGTAAAATTTTCTGCCATGCATTCTTAAATTGCGAGAGAACAGAGAAAAAACCACTGCACAAATAGTGCACTATAATTATGGAGCAGTGTCGTTTATTCCCTATTCACTTGTCGGTCACCTCTTGCAGATCAATCCATTTCTCAACTGGGACAAAGTAGCAGTGAACGAACTCAAAGCCTCATAAGGCTCCTAAGGTACATTTTCCTTTTAGAAACCAAAAATTTCAACGCAGCTTAGGCAAGGAAGTCTTTAGCGCTAAAGGTTTATATATTGGACGGAAATTATTATTTCCTACAACACAATGTTTATTTGCCACCCATTCTCTTTTCACGGCAGGACATTATGTGAAATACAACCACAGTGATGATGAGATATGAGCACAATTGGGGACCTCAGGTGAGCTTCGAACACACGACTACCTTTTCCAAGGCTTATATGTCATTCCACCACGCCAATAGAGACATTTGATTTGCCATTCTTTCAGGCAATTTTTTTTATTCTAATGGTGCTGTGGGGCTAATGTAGCGCAATGGTCGGAGGCGACCTACAATACCAACCCCGCGCCCCAAGTCCACCAAGCCTTTTATCACTCTAGGGTGAGCAAATTGGTACCAAACTTGTCTGGGAGGATACAGCACTGGCTGGATACATTGGTAGACCACCGCGAGTCACTGGAAAGGTCAGATATGCATTCAATCCCCTCCAAACGACGCTTAATGAAGTCGACTACGTGGCGCATCCCTCAGGAATAGAGCAACATCAAGTGCTTTAACTTTTTACCTTTTAAAGGTTCTATCAGTCACCCGTCAACGGGAATGATCTGCAGAGCAAAATCGCTAGAGTAAAAAATCGATCGGGAGAAGGGCAAAGCAGGGGCGTCGCTTGGTGTAGCCAATAACACCTGAGCTCCCGGAAATGGTAGCCACATGTTCGAGGCGCAACTACGTCCGGAGTTTTATTCATATCTCATCATCCTTGCGTTTGTGCTACAACATTCTCCAATAAATTGTTGTTGCGTCGTTTATGGCCAATATTTGTAGATTTTAGGCTTCAATGTACAGGAGGAGCTCCACCTTACAACTTGATTACCTAACTTGAAGAATCTATTATTATTTTATTACATGAACTATTATCGCATCTACTATGCGGATCTTAGCACTTCTTGCATTTGATTAGTTTTCCTAGTATTTATCGTCCACAAAAGTTTCCGAACATTTTGCGTGTTGTCTTGGCTGCTGCTTTCTACTACCTTGTGAAAGCCGTAAAACGCTGATCGAGTCGATTTTTCTCACAATTTAGGAGATAGCCGATTTAAGGCGTTCCCATGTGGATTATAAAGGAATGTTCGGGAGAATGTGGACAGCTTGCTTCTTGGTGAACTGCATGACTAACCACTCCACTACATGCTGTCAGATGAAGAATTGGACAGAGTTAAAACATAAGCCACTATAGCAACAGAAGAGCTACCTATCGTGAGCTTTAAGTTAGAGTCAGGAAAAACAAATGGCCTCAAGCCAAAACCAGTGAAGTTATTTGTGTGGAGCGGGTGGAGTTTAGTGGCCGGCAGGGGGTGGGGGACATGACGAACGAATGAAACCTTTCCTGGTGTTACTTGATGAACAGCGATATTAAGGCTAATAAATACTGGTGGTAGGTGCTAACGTAACCTCGTTAGTGCGTGAAAAAAAACTAACAAGGAGCGATAAGTCAAACGTTAATTTTGACCTTTTGCTTCCAAAAACTACATCGATATTTCCAGGATCGACTTTCTATGAACCACGGCACTGGATTATAAATTCGTCGTTTTCTTTCTCAGCAATCACGAGATTGCTAAACAGCGAGCGTTTACTTCCTTAGAATAACACACGTATAACGCAACCGTAGCTGACGTTTCGGCAGAATCGCCTTCTTCAGAGTCTGGAAGGGCACACTAATACGCAACATACAAGGTCGAACACTTCAATAGCATAAACAGAAGGATGAAAATCTAAACGATAATTACAAGATCAACGGCTTCTCGAAAACCCACCGCTTTTTCGCCTGTCTTCCACCGAGGAAGAACAGCCGTTCAGAGTCGCATATGGTTGGCGACTGCACCTCCCCACATCAACGATGGGGGCGAAGGTAAGAGGCGAGATCACGCGTGATCTCAGCGCATTCCTCCGTACTATTCATTGTAAGATTTTTGGCATTTATTCAAAAAGCCTTGAGGAGTTTGTGCGTTGGTGTTTTCGAATTCCGTGCGAGGATAGCGGCTTTTACATCCTTCCATTCTCTGAAGAAGGCGATTCTGCCGAAACGTCAGCTACGGTTGTGCTGTATGTGTGTTATTGCACGAAAGTAAATGTATGCTGTTTAACAACCTGGGATTGCTGAGAAAGAAAACGAAGAACTTACATTGATATTTCCGTACTTTTTAACTTCAGTTGACAACCTCTGCCGGATTGAACAGTTCAGAAAAAGAAACCTTGCTGGTCCGCATTTAACCTCGACGTCCTGTACAATTTTGTTCTTGTTCGCAGCAAAACCTCCACATCCATTCCTATGCTAAAATAATTTCTTCAAGAATTAAAAAATGGGTTCTCTGTAGTTGCAAAGCGCTCAACTTACAGTGTAATCACCAGTAGTGATAATTCCTCGTTTCTTGTCTACGGTGTAAAACGGAGCACCTTCGAAGGACGGTATGATACCTTAATCAGATGTAATCTCTCTCTCTATCTCCTCCTTCATCCCTCTTTCACACTCTATTCCTGTCTTTCTCACAAGCTCTCTCTCCCTTTAACCGTCATTGCTTCTATACTTTGTAACGGTTCGTACGATCTCTCACAACAAGCTATCTTTGCAGTTTCCTGCATTCTAGCATTGTGATTGAATTGAAGTTAATTGATAATATGCGTTACCAAGTTCAAAGCGTGGTCCTTCACCTTTGCATAGCGCGAGAAAGTTTTCAACAAGTATCGGACTGGTCTTCCGATTCAGTTGTGCTTCTATCCTAAAAGCGTACGTAAAATTGTGATCATAGCACTCCATAACGTTAACCCATTCTTCCGTTTTAAATTAAACCTCAATCGACGGATGGCCTTGAAGTAATATTACGCAGGTATAAAACAGATGGTTTCTTCGCTAGTCTAATCATTATTGAAATCTTAATGGAGACTAGTATTTTTCACCTAGCGGATAATAAAAAAGGAATATACCGTTCCATTGGTGCTCCTTTTGCGAAACCAATTTCAAAAAACACCCACGGATCCATTGAACAATATGGGATTGGAGTACGAGTTTTCTTAAGGAAACGAAATCAAACGTGAATTTTTCGTAATGGAAAACCATCTGCATTTTCTTTTTTCTTTTACATTTTCTCATCAATCGCGCTGCTCTGTTGTGGACAAGTGACACAAACTTGTTCTGTTCCAATTGGGATCAATATGTCACCGGTGGCTCCTCGGAACCCCCTCTCCAGTAGTGGAGCAGCGATCCGAGAACGACACTCACAATGAAGATATGTGGATAACGTCGGTTTAGCAGTATTTTTAAAATAACTTGGCTTTCTGTCAAACCAACAAATCGAGTTACCGTATCTGTGACTGGAGCGATAATTTCACTTAAAAGTCCCAGGAGAGTGGTCATGTTATTTGAACCGAACGCGGCTAGTGTTAGTTGAATAAATGAGAATGCATGGCATAATTCTGATTGATATATCCAACATGGGAAACTTGTTTGCCCTCAATTGTTAAGAATATAATCATTTTGTAATGAATAACGCAAAAGTGGGTGTATTCTCCAGACCCATCATCAGCAAGAATCGTAAGAGATCAAGTAAATCATCAGCTTAACTTCTATTATGCTAGTGCTCCATTACCCGGTTTGGACATACTCCACGCAGCAAAATTTTTGTAGAAATTTTGCTTCTTCATCTCGTTATCCCTCATCCAAGGTCTTCGATTTTCGCAAAAGGATAGTCTTTGTGTACCGTCTGTACAGTAAACTCAACAAGCATATTGAACAGTAGTTACGAAGACTTCTTCCGTGACGTTCTCTGGATAGGGTAAACTTGTGCGAGGTCCATCATTAATGTGGAATTTTCTCTTTCTGAGGGTAAGATGCTATGTCGGTTGCGATAGTTACGGTGTGCCTGGCTACACGATTGTGTTATAGGTATACCCACCTTCAAGGCACAGTTTGAAGAACTTCTACGCGTATTTGTACTTTCTGTGGTGGTTGTATAGGCGAAACACAGTTCTTTCTCCAAATGGTGCCATCGGCATGTCAATGTACACAATTTTGCGAGGTCTACAGACAACCTTGCAATTCCTGAGTGAGTGCTGTAAGACAGCTCATCTCGCATAATCTATTGATTCCATCTAAATTGCCCGCAAATGCATGTGAGTTAAGATCATTCCAAATCTAGCCGTTACCATTACACCCGGATCTATATGATCCTCTCCGAAAGCCGGATGACTGGTCCTACAGATTCTCACACGTGGCACCTTTACTGTACTCATTTGAAAGCGAAAGCCAAGGCGTTTTTTCGCCTCATTGACGGCAGTCTTTCTACACTCAGGATTCCTCTATTGGTCGTGTATATTAGTCTCTTCTACGTTCTCAAACATCTGCAATGAAAAGTTCGTAGAGAAGTGCAATGGCTTGTTCCTTGCACCTAAGTAAAATATCGTCCTGAACACCTGTCCACCGGTCATCAAAATAAGTGGAGCATCGGAAAAAATAAACAAAATAGAAAATAAAACGAATGATACTGTCAAGCTTGATCAATCACCGGTTACTTCTTTTCATCACACGAACCACATTCTTTCCATCCTCTAAGTCACTATCCTCAAAGTCACAGAGATTTCCATATTGGCTTCTGCATCGTCTCCAAGTTTCTCATCGTCACTCTTTATAGGAAAGCGGTTGAAGTGGATTTCATTGCCTTCACTGGCAGACATGATGCCACTAAAAGCTAAACTGTAGAATAACTCCAGACAAGGTACCAAGTTGTAATAAGCGAAATACAGCGATGAAATATTAAAGCGAATAACAAACGATAACCGTACAAGAACAAAAACAGGAACCTTAGCAAAGAAACCAAAACTGTTGGAAAACAGATACCTCACACCTTTTTGATGTACCCGATTTCGATTTCCTCTTTCCTACCTTTTTCTAAGCTTTCTGATATTATAGATTCATCGCTTCTTCCTCCAATCCGGTCGCAGTGATAGACCTGAGTGACCACACAAAATATGATATGCCAGAGACTTCAAGAAAAAAGCGAACCTCTGCAAACAGTGTGTGTAAAATGATCGAATAGAGGGTAGCTTGGAATCGACGCCTTCCTTGTGACTTGCTCATCATCACCAATGAAGCGCTCACAGCACTGAACACCTTTCCAATCTCGTTCTTTAAATTTTTCAACACTGACATCAAGAAGAATCCAAAATCGGACATTACGAGATTTCCTTCCGTTTTAAACTTCCTCATTTCCACTATTGAGAAGAAATCTATCCAAGTTAAGTGGTAATCGTTTCCCACCATTACGATTGGAGCTTGAAATAGTTACATTTCTGACCGGTCATTGATAAATGAATCCTTTACAATCATTTTTATGAACTACATCAAGAGTATGGAGCCGGCGGATATAAATAAGATAAAAATGGTGCAGAAATCTACCTCAACTATAGTAGTAAACCATACGAGAAACTGATAGAACTGCGGTTATATGCTGTAAGCATTTAATCGTCTTGTTTGTTATTGTTACAAGTAGAAGCGTGTGGAGCGCAGTGGTCGGAGGCGCCGTGCAATACATATGGGATCGATCCCCGCCCCATGGGCCCACTAAGTCTTCCATTGCTCCAGGGTCGAAAAATTGGTACTAGACTTGTCTGGGAGGATAGCAACACTGGCTCGTTCCACCGGTAGGCTACTGCAACTCATGGGAATGGTGAGATATGTATTCAATCACTTCCAGTGAGACTTAATGAAGCCGACTGCATAGCACATCCCTCAGGTATAGATCAACGCCAACAGCTTTATCACGTACCCTTTCTATTATTACACAACCTATTATGACATGTATCACCTTGTGAGGATAACAGCAACCCCTGCATTAGATTTGTTTCCTCGACTCTACCATCCACGAAGGTTTTCCAAATTTTAGTGCTCCGGTTCAGCTGCTGCTCAAGGATTGCTGTCCTTTTAGCGAACGTCGTGAAATGTTGGTCGACTCAATTTTCCGTGCATCCTGAGAGAGCCGTGCTACACCGTTTCAACGTAGACTAGATGGAGCAAGGTTGTCCCAGAAAGGTCTGGTGCCAATCTCCCGACAACGGAGCGGTGAGAATATCGCTGATCCCGGCGCGCAGCCGAACGAGCGGCTCGGGAGGTTGGACCGTCCGCGTATTGGACGAGACCTTAAACGTTCAATTTTTGATCAGTAATCCGTAATCTAGAAATCTATCCTTATACTACACTATACTATTATATGTATATATGTACATTAATAATGCAAATAAGTGACGTACTTGCTGCTGGTTCTTCTGCTCGCGATAATGGGAGGCCGTCTGTTCTCTCGTAACCAGAAACAGTTTCCATTGGTTGCAGCTTTTGATTAACTGCGGTCTAGCCGAAATGGCTTACAAGAACCTCTGGAACATTCTTCAATAGGTCACATAACGGACCTAAAGCAGCCCATAGCAAATAGCTTAAGACACGATTGACTGCTTCATCGTTTACCGTCGTTACTATGAATCATGATTATCGTACGAAATGAACGTAGAAGATTAACACCAGTAGAACCAGAAAGTTGATGGAATACGGTCATAGAGTACCAGTAGAATCGCTAAGTTGATGGAATACACTAAGCTGACCATTCCGGATCCCGAAGAAGTCCGGGATCCGCGGAAACAACTGCTATTACGAAACAGATGACCTATCGACATTCTCTCGTCGCCCGCATTCACCCGCACCTCGAGAGGTGCTATGGCCCCAAACCGATGCGGCAGCAAATATTCCGTTCCTGCGTTTCGTTTGCTGATGTTGCGGATCGGTATTTCTACGGTAGAGGCATCAGATGTATTCGAACCTTTCTTTCTCACTGCTAAGCGTAAAAAGTTTTGTATTTTTCTTTCTGTAATACTCGTAGTTTGGTGGAAACTCAATCGATCGATTTATTTGCAGCGTTGGTGCCGAAGGTGGTCCCATGGATTAGACGGTTTCGGGGTTATGTTATGAGCTGTTCACCTTTTTTCTGTGTTTTCTGTGGTCCCTTCAGGTGTGTAGATACGTAACTGATCAATTCTACTAAGTGTTGTTTGCTTTTCTTGTCCTTCCGCTTACCGTTCCAGTAATATCCATAGGTCGGACCATCGAACTACTTTAAATCAGTAGTCCGTTGGAAACCCGTAATAAACACTTGGAGGAGTCGTCATGCTTTTTCTTTTCATTAATATTTTTATCGTTATCATCATCACTTTCTATTTCCGCCTCATGGCGATTCGCCATATTCGTTGTTAAGTTCTACAAATAAGACGTTCTCGTGACCGTTGACCTGTCCTTCATGGCAGAGCTGATTCCAGAAGAGTTCTGGGGTGTTCACAGTGACATTTTCATCTATGGAAACTGTGTACGTTAGCTTGTGTTACACTTAGTGACCATCGCCAGTTGGTAGATTTCTCCATTCCTCATGCCTCTTCCATCGGCAGCCGTAAAGCTTCACTATTTGTTTTGGGTTTCCATCCAGAATCGGACAGCCACTTCGAAATATTCAATCGGTGTGAACATTCGCATTTCTTTAGTCTTGTTTTTGTCACCGTCTTTGCTTTCATTTTATTATGATTGTAATTTTTAGGACTACATATCTGTAGTTATTAATGTAACGGACACCGCAATTCATTCTCCTCCAACATTTCTTTCTTTTTTCATCTTCTCAGTAGCATTAGGCCTTTGCCAGGCCTACGACAGTATCCGAGAACGTTTCATTGTGGATGGCTCACTTCCGAATCGATCAGTGGCTTTTGGCGAGAGAGCTTTTAACTATCGATTTCGCCATTATTTCTGAAATGTACTACTTACCCATAAGTGCATCAAGGGACGGCACTTTTTCATCCTTTTAGGAACTATTTCGGACCACGGTGCGCTCGGTTCTGCAAACAGTCTCCCCTTGACCTCCGTCACATCGCTTGCTCGTCAACTGACGAGAAAATTTGTCTCGCAAGATGGAAAGGCGAGAACTGTAGTACTGGTGAACCTGTTTTAGTTGTATGGTATTGCCGTTTTAGAAGGGTTTGGATGCTTAATGCAAGATGATGGTGAAGAAAAAGACGAAGCCCGTTATCGCACACTGAAAAGCACACGTTGATTCCCGCCGGTAGTTACTAGTGTTAATACCTTAGTATATTGTTTGTCTGCTTTCATCTACCTCTCATCTCATCTCGTGCGATGCTGAAGCACTACTAGTTAGACAGGAGGTGTCTATAGAGAACGTTCTTCACGAATATTGGAATGTTTTCTATGTAGAACAATTATAACCTTATGCCTTCTACAACACCTGTCTATTCATAATCGTCATACATCTATTCTTGCACATTCGGTAAATCATCTCTTAACAACCGTTTCATGCAATTGCCTCGCAGGTGGCTGGAAAGGGAATCAGCAGCAGTCAGCTGAATGCACTTTCCAGCATCTGTCGTTCCAAAAAGTCTCCGAACAGACACCCGCACCCTTCCACATGCAACCCCTCTCCGGACGCCGCCCTTAGTTCTCTCTGGCAAAGCTCCACCCACTACAGATGTAATACAGGCAGCCCATAGGACTGGTCCTGAAATCCTAGCCGCGTTTGACCGGTCTGCTTCCGGTTCCTCAATTTCTCAGTGCTCCAACACCAGTGTCCGCGTTAATTCCTTCAAGGGTACCACTTGTTACCATCTCAATTCCGCCTTTATCCACCCAGCTTACATATCGCCAAATATCACACATTATTGTATTACCGTTGCATTAATCATACAGTTGTACCGTTATGCCAATCTCTTCACTCATAAGCAGCCCGAATATCAGTGACCAGGCTGCATCTATTCATTACCCGTATCATCGTTGCATTAATTACACAGTTGTACTGTTATCCCAATCTCTTCAGTCATAAGCAACCTGAACACCAGTGATCAGGCCACGCCTACTTATAGCCCGTATCATCGTTGCATTATCTGTAAAATTGTATTGCTATGATTGTTGTATAATTATGATAAATGGTTTAATTACCCAACTTTGAGGTTTTAGGCATTGTGACTGCTACTTACAAGAAGTCCCGCGTGGCGTACACAAAGGCAAGCAGCAAATTCCGACCGAATCGTCTTAACTACTTGGTATTCCTATATCAACGAGCCGTCCCAACAGTGTCAGTCTGCCCAGCTGATCCCGCAAGTGTGAATCAGACATAGGCTACCTGTTCTACTCATTTTAGACGATTTAGAAATAACTGTAGAAGCTCTTTACTATTCTCCTCTCATGTGCGCAGTCACAAAAAATATTAGTGGTTATGCGTAGTGCTAACCACCAATGTCCCTACTGAGAAAAGTCACGAGGTTCTGATAGAGCTACAAGGTCGCAGTGTATCATTGCTAGACTTTTCCATAAAAGCACTTCGCTTGGCTCCAGTTGGACCATAAAATAGGTAACAAGGTTGAACCCGTCGTGAATTCTCATTGTTTTGTTGTCCTTTACCGCTTCCTGCATGCATCTGTACAAGTATTTCATCTCGATATCCTATAACTTTTCAGCTGTGGTGTTCTGTGCAATATTTGTGGGATTCGTGCTCTGTGCACCGACAACCCAATTACTCGGGGATCTACAACTGTCCGTCGTCCTGTTCTAACCAATGGGCGAGTTCCCAGTTGTATTTCTGACTTTGCCACGTATTTTCCTACTTGCTTAGGTTGTAATTATTGCTCCTTATTTTTGGTAAAAATGAGTTGGATGGTCTCCTCATAGATTTACAGATAGTTAGATTCTTCTTCGTGTTTGTTATTTTCTTTATTTAGTGCTGTTGTTATAAGCAAATGTGTTCCGAAGATACGACTGTGTCCTCTTTGTTTCTACGTTCTCTCATGAATGGTTGCTATACCACATCATCTGTTGTGATAACGCAGCAGGTTTAGTGCATTTTATCCTGTATTGTGACCTTTTATCCCACACCTTGGTAGGATTCTCTTAGTTCTAAGTAGCCGTAAGAGTGAAGTACACGCATCTCAAATGTGTTGTAGTTACCACCTCAATGTGGTGTGAGAATGAGTGAGATATGTTACCAGGACAAATAAACTGGCTCTTGTATCCTTCGCACCCGTTTTCACAACCAATGGCCAGCACAGGTCTACTTGGCTTTCGTTACTGAAGGAAGTGATTCTATTGCGATTTAGTTTTGTCAATTGTTTGCTTGTTAAAGGTTATAAGAATGTCTTAGGTGTATTATTCACGATATTTAGCAGGAGGATATATCCTTTGTTTAATTGCTAGTAGTTAAGGTCTCAATTCTACATATTTTCGTGATTTCTTTAGAGCCTTTTCAAGCTAAATATGGCGTCCAAATCTGTTTTCCAGTTTATGTATCGCCATATTCATCTTTTCGGTCTACTACTTGTGGTGTTATTCCGAACCATCAGCACTGACTACCAAAGCGGTGCATACCATCCCTATGCGTGTGAATGCGGCGATTTTTTTGTATCTCTAGGGTCCCTCATTTTCTTGCAAATGTCAATAAGGTCATGTTGGCCCGACATGTAATGTTTGGCACTAGCCTTTGATAAACTATGAAGTCGATGGTTTTTTTTTTGCTTTAATGGTGGTATCTGCAATACTACTATGAAGTGCTACATATATGTTTGCCCTTCGAATATCACCGGTCTGCTTGTTTTGCCAAATTTGTTGCCCTCTGTAGGGCCATTTTAAAATTTGTTGCCTATGATAGGGTTTTTCTGGGAAGGATACACCAACGAGTGCTTGCTTTCGCCAAGTGAAAACGGTGTCATGTGCGCCAATCGGATTGGCAGCTACTACTGCGTGTGCTTTCGTGGATTTAGAGGTTCATCGCACCAAGAACGCCTTGAAGGGTGCTCAATTGAGCTAGTCTTTAATATTCATTGAATGTTTGAAGTGACATTGCGTTTTCTCAGAGGACAATGCGGCGTTTATTACAGATCTTAATGTTACTCCCAAGCACTTGTCTGAACGGTGGAGGATGCATTGATAGCTCCGGCAGCTGTTTGCGAATTCCCTCGTGGTTATAAGAGACTACGTTGCCGAGATGCTAAAGACGTTATTGGTGCCAAAACAAGTAACACATAAGTGGGACGATTTTTCTTTGTAAATTATACTGCGATATTTTTCTATTGCTCCCCACTGATCCCTCCAAGATATCTTGTTGTTGTTCTCCACCGATGCCTCCAATACATTCGCGACAGTGCTAGTCATGTGTTATTTATGCGCGTATAGTAAAGGTACGTGCGTATTACTTACTTGGATACCTGGATGATCTGCCTTCACTGGTTGTGCGGAACTTATCGTAATTTCCATTCTTTGGAAATTTGGTGGTTTGGCCATTGTGGTTTCCTGGAGTCCATAGGCCTGGCCAAAATCTGCCTCAGGTAGTCACCAGCACAGGCAGTCGCAGCCCTTGTGGATCAGAGGGAGGTTTGCCACCATGCGACTAGTTTGATACCAGGATGGTGGTGGATCCTGGCATTCGTTTACTCTTAACTGGGTTTCCTAGTGGAAGCGTTGGAGTCTCTTTCAGCTTGGGAGACCCTGCCGTGGAGATGAATCCCCCCATTTTACTTCACAGCCCGACATCCAGCCACGATGAGGCGGTAAGCCGCTGGAAAGACGAGATGTATATTACATTATACTATATTGCATGTATAAATATATTATATGTTAATGTACGTACATTTATTCACATTTGAATATTACATATATTATATACATACTGTATGATAACCCACAAGGTACTAAGCTCAACGCTGCCATCAGCTTTACCCGCCAGCGGAATTGATCGGGATATGGGATCGTACATATATATATATATATATATATATATATATATATACATATGTGTTATATACATATGTTATATGTTTATTTATATATGTTTGTATTTTTTCATATTTATAAACATAACGGATAAAGCTCTTGGCGTTGGTCAAATCTTGAGGGATGCAGATGGGTTCGACTTCATTAAGCATTGTCGGAGGTGGTTGAATGCATACCTGAACCTTACAATGATTCGTGATGGCCTACCGGTGCATCGAATCAGTCCTGATATCCTACCAGACAGGCCTGGTACCAATTTTCCGACCCTGGAGGGATGGAAGGCGTGGTAAACCATGGGAGCGGTGATCAATTCTACGTGTGTTGCAGGGCGCCTCTGAACACTGCGCCACACGCGCACCACGTATATTATACGAAATGAAATTGAAATTTACGTATTTCTTGCAAGTTTCGAGTTTTTTTATTCTGGACCAACGATTTTGTGAATTTCTGAGACTGTGGCTGGCTTTTATCGAAAAAAACTCCACTATCGCAAATATGTTGTGACCTTTTTCTCCTACATTCCGTTTTTGAGATTTGATGGTGTGGCTCTGTATCCTGACTTCAGAAAAAGAATTCCACAAATTTTAGCGATCTTATTGTGTTTGATTGCGACAGCGATGGAGACGATTGCTTTGTTTCCTTAAACAAGTGCGCCGTTCGCTTCTTGTCCATTTTCATCGTATCGTTCTCATGTACTCAGGAATGCCATCTGTGATGAGGCTTGTTCTTTTAGTACGTTCGTCACACCAGTAAATATTTATGTTTAAGAGTTCGCATTTGTAGGTGTGTAACATTGAAGTCTGTATGCATGACGGATTCGACTGCATTCTACCAGAGTCAAAATGTCCCAAATCGATCTCTACGTAATGCAAAGAAGGAAGGCGGACTATGTTTACGCTGAACCGTGCAATCAAGAAGCTTGTGACGCAGACACTGGGGACTGTAAGGAGACTTTTCCCGTGATAGTAAGTTTGAGTGTTTAGTTTAGTCACATCAGAAGCGAGACATCTTAGGTTTTCTGCCCTCTGTTGCTCTTCATTTTATGAAATCTCCCTTTATTGCAGATGCCAGGAGAAATATTTGTATTCGTACAGGCAGAACAATACTATTTCATTGCCAATATTCCTCGCTTTCTGAGTTCACTAAGTCCGTTGCTCCGTGCCGATGTCCATATAAAAATGACGAGAAAGGGCCGACCATATTCTTGTCGAAAAGTGGAGAAGTTGCTGAAAGGCTTACAATCGGAAAACAGGTGATAGAGGAATCTATCAACTCAAATTACCTGGCGGACGTATCATAAGACCAATTAATCTACTAATTCCACTTGAGCTGGAAGACAGCCCGACACAGAAACAGTTAGACACAAATGGAGAGACGGAGTCGCCGACTCAAAATCCCCAAAGAGCAATTGAAATTCTAAATCAACGCTGTAATTTCCAACTTCGGTAATGTGACAACAACATGCCAATACCCAAGATCGACTTTCTGTTAACCTGGGCATTGATTGACAATTTGATGTCTTTCTTCAATAAGCAGACGCGAGGCTGTTATAGAATTTCTTACGATACAATAGCTGACGTTTCAGCGGTGTCGCCTTCTTCAGAGCCTGGAAAGGTCAAATTGAGATGCGATCTAATCAGCCAGACACTTTCATAACCCTAGCAGATAAAACTTAACAAATAAATTTGTATTCGCATAAGAAACAGCTTTATTTAAACACCTACCGTTTGTTTGTTGTAAGTATTTAAGTTGGTTGATGGATACCAGCCGCATAGAGTAATACATGGGCGATAACTGTGTCTGTGTCAGGTCATTGGATTAGCCTGAGGTATGGCGCCAGGTCACGCGTGATGACAGGACACTCCTCCTTGCGGTTCATTTTTGAGTTTTTGGAATTGATCCAAAGCGCTTGAAGAGTTTTACGCGCTGATGTTTTCGATTCGTGGCTCGCTGAAATGGCTATTTGGCGCGACACTTTCGAGGATTCTTCCCTCTGATCTTTAGCTGTGCACATGCTGGCAGCGGTTCGAAACATTATAAGCGGTTATAAGAAATATGTTTCGAACCGTTGTCAGCGTGTGCACAGGTATAGAACAGAGAGAAGAATCCTCGAAACTGGCGCTCCAAATAGCCATTTCAAATGATTACGAAACTGTAGCTTCTCGGTATAGGTATAGAGCAAAAACCACGCCCCAGAGCGGTAATACTAGCGGAAACAAGGCTCTGTTCCTTTTGCCCTTTATTTCAAACGAATTAAGTGCAGCTATAAAACGTTGCTTAATAAGGGCTGGTCCAGAGAATTCCGTAAGAGTGATAGAAATACCATCGGACAGTCTAAGACGCCAGCTAGTTCGCAACCGCCTATACTACCGTCTATGTATAACCAAAAACTGTATGATTTGCCTTTACGGTAGAGATGGCGATTGAATGAGTTCGGGTACAGTATATCTGATCTCTTGTAAAGCGTGCGGGCACGAATATGTTGGCGAAACGGGTAGACCGCTCTGCGTCCGCATAAAAGAACACCTAGTCGGTAAATCTAAACTAAAACAAAATACTCCACTAGGCGCGCATAGGATGCAGGAACAGAACGGAGAAGATTTTGAGGTAGGAGTCACTATCCTTACGCAGGAATCGAAAACATCAGCAAATGAATTTCTTGAAGCGTCTTGGATCAATTCCAAAAATTCAAAGATGAACCGCAAGGAGGAGCGTCTTCTCATCACGCGTGACCTGGCGCCATACCTCAGGCTGATCCACTGACCTGACACAGACACAGTCCTCGGCCCATGTATTACTCTGTGCGGCTGCTATCCACCAACTAACTGAAACCCTTACAGCGAATAAACGATGGGTGTTTAAATGAAGCTGTTTCTTATGCGAATACAAATTTATTTGTTAAGTTTTATCTGCTAGGGTTATGAAGGTGTTTGGCTGATTAGATCGCATCTCAATTTGACCATTCCATGCTCTGAATAAGGCGAAACCGCCGAAAAGTCAGCTATTGTATCCTAATAAATCCTATAATAACAAACTCGTGTCCGCTTATTGAAGAAAAACATCGATTGTACCAATAGTCTCTCAAAGAATTCGTTCCCAACAAATCGAGGAAGAACATGAAGCGAGAAATCATCCCAAGGTCAAGAAGGACACGAATCGTCGAGGAACCACTATAACCTTCGATCACGAAACCCCAGTCAACTTACAAACCAGCCACCGTCCAGCTATTCCAATCAGTCCAGCCGGTTAAAACAAAGTAGCTAAAGAGCAAAACTCCCACGACAACGTTGCCAACACCAAATTAACGCACCTGTTAACTGAAGGAACACGCTCAAAGACAATCCCGTTAATCGACGCCAGCGACTGAGCAACATACATACGGACGTAAAAACACCAAACTATTCCACTAAAAAACTGCTATCTCAGAGCCCATTCCTTTAGTGGTGGGGGACTATGGAGAATTCCTCTATCAGAGAATTCTCTATCTACCTAACAAACACATTCTATAAGTCGATAGAGACAGCATTTGCCACAACACCCGCGTGCGTGTCCTACATCCACATCCCATCCTAGCCATCGGGCACGCCACTAGACACAGCATCTTGTCTGGAAACTTCTGGGGAAGCATCTGGAAACTACTAGGGTTGAGAATCGTTGAGTATTCCTTCATTTCTACCTAACGGTATCAACCTTTTTATCGTATGCATTCTTATTCGCACATTTTCCCAGTACAGAGATCAAAGACTTATAACCTCTGCCTTCGCAGTTGCATATCCAATCTGCTTCGGAATACCCACTCTCTTTTCCATTGTCGACTGAAGAATCAAATATACGAGGTCCATATGGGCGTACTGCGTTGCTGATACTGGCAACAATAAGAGGTCGGAAGAGCAGTTGATTGACGAGGTTATGAAGCTTCATGCTATTGCCACCGACATGAATTTGTTAGATGACTTTAAGATTGCTTTAGTTTGCCTTTTTTATATAAAATTGCAGAAGAATGAACTATTACTATGTAAATACGACGTGGTCATTTTTCACGCTTTACCTTTTATGTCATTTCAACCTACATACGTACTGTTATAGCTGTCCAACTAGTTTGAATTAAGGTGATGACACGGCTCTACACACGGCCGTCTCATTCGGTCTTGCAGCTTTGGTGCGCAAGTTTCTTCAGTTGTTCGTGACCATACTTCGACCTGTTTGAATCTCGCCACACCTGCAAGTGTATCTGATGTGATGGCGACGCTGCTGGAGACCGAGGAGATGAGGGAAGAGGCGCGTTGTGGTTGACCTTGAAAGAATTCTTTTCTTTTGTGGACAGCTCCACCTATGATGTAGAGATGTTGACCAAATTACCATTGTTCAGGTGGACGCAGTAGATGACAAAAACAGAACAGGTTTGATGCTTGTAGCAGTGCACGACAGAGTAGATGCAAAGGCGGCAGGAATGCTTATTGATGCTGGTGCAAGCGGTAATTATAGCGGTGATAGTGTTAGTCAGTGAATATGTCATGGAATTTTTACTCTCTAGAAGTGGCATTGTTGTATTTTCTTTTTAGAACGTTGTTTCATGGAATGAAAGGACGACATTGCATTTCGCTGCAAAATACGATAACTCCCAAATTGTTGCCTTCCTTGTGCGGAAATTGGCGGCCATTGACTGTCAAGATTAGGAGGTCTTTACTGAATCCTTATGTTTAATACAGTGAAGTTCTTATTATTCCTTATTGATAGCTTACAGAGTTGCACGCTGCTCCATCTTGTCGCTGCGGAGGGCCGTGTTGAGCCTGTAAAGGAGTTGAGCCTGTGCAAGCGTATTGATGAGGAACGATAAGGTTGGATGTTCTGAAACTCCGTGCTTTATAAGTGTCTACATATGTTGTCAGTTCAGGGAAAGATCTCTGTAGGAAACAAATTATCAATTTATACATTACATTCATGTAGAGGAGTTTCAGTACTACCTTATAGGTGCCAATTCAGCAGTCCATACTATCAACTGGGCGCTCGAGACTTTATATTCAAATGAAGGAACTCCTGTCAATGACAAAATTTTTCCTTCACCTTATGAAACAGTGCGAAAATGTTTCGCTTTCTCGGAAAGACTGGTGTGTCTGGAAACTCGATGTGTTGACTTGTTGGTGTTTGGTGTTTCCAGGCAAATTTTTCGAATAGGTGAACATGTATTGCTAGCGTTCTGTTTTTATTTTTGAAAACTGAGTTCAGATGGAAGAATCCTCTGGATACGTTGATTTTGGATTCGACACTTACACGTGCAGGTCACTATAATTGCGGTACTACATATACGTTTTTTTTAATAGATTCTTGAAGCCAAATGGTTCTGTTAGTGCCTCAATCCCCTGATCTCTTATGAACGTAAGAAGAATGAATTCTTCTCTGCATCACCAATTATTTCCTGTATTAGCGTGAATGGTGAGGGGTTATATCCTACTTTATGATTCTTGAGTTTGTTTGTTATCTTTACTTCGATGGCCACAAGGGGGTATTTTCTCTTATAGGCTTGCAATTAAATTTATGCTTATTAAGTTTGTATCATGTGCGTTTTACTACGCTGTGTTTATGTGATGCAAAGAAAGGACAGTGTAGGATTTCGCTTATCAGCTTTATGCAGAGTCACTTGTATTGATTGGAGAACAAAAATTTAAAGAAATGTGCTTTCAAAATTACATGGTGTGGTAGAATTCTTCAGAGGTTCTATTTGGTCATCCTATCTGAAATAGTTTGCTGCCTTTATACCATTTTTCAGTAACGTCTTGTTCTTTGTTGTTGTGTTCGGTTTAATATTCCATGGTTGCGAATAGTACTTTGTAGATTACATTCGAAGCAATGCCTTATTTGCAAAACTCTGGACCGCAGGTGTCTATGGTGGGGAACGAACGCGCTATTATCCTTTCCGGGGAGTAACGCGTTCACCACCACACCATGCAGGTCCTTTGTTTCGCACGTCTCTCAGCTATTTCTATCGATCTTCTTGCCACAGCAATCACCCGCATGGTGTGGTGGTGAACACGTTACTCCCCGGAAAGGACAATAGCGCGTTCGTTCCCCACCATAGACACATGCGGTCCAGAGTTTTGCAAATATCTCAGCAACGTTGTGGTTGTATTTCGCTTAGTAACCTTCCATGAAAATTATAGAAGGCAGAAAACAAAACGTTAAACGCAATGCCTTATATTCTGTGCATCCAGGATGTTACGGTGCGTAGTTTTTTTATGTCACGAACAAAGAGTGGAGATCAAGCCTTGGTACCGTCAGGAATAGTCTATGTGCTCTTCCAGACGCAAAAGGCGGTTAATTGTTGTGGGAGTTATGTTGTTGTACTTGCAGCACAGAAGTCGTATGACAATTTTCACCAACAGCTAGCCGCGGAATAAAAGCAACCTTTGGTTCCCTAAGATTCAGGTGGATTTTTGCACATATTTTCTGTGTTTAGAAGGGCTCATCTAAGCCTGCGTGCGTGGGTGTGTTCTCGTTTAGGCGGATTGCATTCCACGAGTTAATTCGACCAAAATCCTGCAATCATGTGTCTGGGAACCATATAGGAGGGGGTTTTGAGTCGCCTCCAACAAATAAGCTCCATGTCCATTCTGGTAGAAACTGGCAAGCTACCCGTGAGTATAACCCAGTCCTATATTTAGAGCTAAGGAAGTTATAAGTGGGTATCAAAAGGCCAAACACGGTAAAAAAAACAGGCTCCACTCCTCTGAACTCGAATAAACCCCTGATTCGTTAGCGTTGGTTAGGACGAGTATGGAGAGGCTGCTGAAATCTCAGGGCCATTCTGAGCTGCCTAAATCGCAAAGGGCTAAGTGACTATTTGTACGTTCAATCCACGCACAATTCTATCTGAGTGGCTAATAAAGGAGGATGGATAATTTCGCCGGCGGAAAATGGAACAGGACCAGATCCGGAGAGGATAAGATCAGAACACCTGAAGAACCTTCCGCCAGTCTTCGTAAACACACTGGCTCAGCTCTTCTTACGTTACCTGTCCGAATGCAAGGTCCCTACTCAATGGAAGACCAGCAAAACCGTACTAATGTTCAAGAAGAGTGACCTCCGCAACATCGGCAACTATGGCCCAATCCGCTTGCTGTCGGTCGTCTACAAACAATCTCCATTTGTAGCATAGCAGGGAGGTTTGACGGTATATCTTTCTTACATCATGAATTAAGAAGGACTTACTAGCGTATCAGTTCAGTATTAGCACTACCTTGCCGCAAATATTTTGGGGCTGATAGCACAATGGTAGTGATGTCTGTCATCACAAGCATGATGCTAGTTCGATTCCTCTCCTGGCCAACCAAGCCTCTCATCCATCCGGGATCGGGAAATTGGTACTAGACTCGTCCGGGAAAAAAATCGCTATTTGCAGTCCGATTTCAAGCGCTCCAGTCTGGCTATCTCAGGACTCCAAGAAGAAATTCTCACCGAGCATTCTACGACATTCAAGATGAAATGGAAATCGTCAAGCAGCAACCGAAGCCACACGTAATAACTTGGAAGACCTTTATGGACGATGTATGCGATAAAACGAATTGTATGTGAGAAATGTTGGGATCCACACAGCGGACGCGAAGACAGATCAAATAAAAAAAATCGCCCAATCTGCTTGCTCTGGGTCGTCTACAAACTTTTCACTTGAGTCATACTAAGCAAGACTGACAGAACACTGGAGGAAGGATAGCCATGTGAGCAAGCAGGGTTTCGAAAAGGGTTCAGTTCGATTGATCACATCCACACTATAACAAGATTCGTTGAAGTATCGCAAAGGTACAAAAGACCGTTCAGCCCCACTTCTAGCGATTTAAGGAAGGCCTTTGACTCAATTGAGATTGAAGCAGTCATGGAAGCCCTGGACAATCGAGGAGTTCCTACTCAGCATATAAAGGTTCTTCGTGAGCTGTACAAAAATTCCACAGCCAAGATATCACCATTCTACAACGATAATAACATCGAAGTCAAAAGAGGGGTTAGGCAAGGGGATCCCACCTCACCAAAATCATTTACCTCCACCCTCCAGAACGTCATGGGAACATTGGAATGGGATAATATGGGAGTGAAAATCGACGGTCGACAGTTACACCATCTTCGCTTTGCTGATGACATCGTCCTTATAACACCAAACATTAGCAAGTGGAACGTATGCTTGTCAGAAGAACGGATTGGTTTCGCATGCCCCATTCACGCTCAACGGAACGAATATCTCCGAATGCTTCAGTTACACGTTCATGTTGTTGAGAATATATTAATTAATCGAAGGACGCAAGTAACGAGGTTATAACATCCTTGATTGATTGTATTTCTTGGTGGAAATGTCTATTTTATTTATACTTATAGATTTTTGAACCAAACTTCAAGGAGCCGGTAACGCAGAGGTAGTGATCCTGTTCATTACGAGAACATGCTCAACATGCCAAGGCTCCGTTTCAAACTTTCTCGGGCCCACCAAGCTTATCATCTCTCCAGGATCGAGAAGTGGGTACCATACTTTCTGGGAAGAGCTCACTACCTCGAATCCACGTGGGACGCCTGAGTACTGCTATTTCAGGTTTCATGGGGAATTGACTAAACCAGCGTTCAACGGTATTCATGATTAAGATGAAAATATTCTCATGCAGCGGCCGAGCTCACATGTGGAAAGTTCTAGGGCCTTTTTGGGCGGTGGATGTGAGAAAACGAATCGAATGCAAGGTGCACTGGTACCGACACAATATGGCATGTATGATGTCGGGTCGCGTAGTTAAAAAATAAGTAAAATATATATATGTATATTTCAGCTTTTTTATTGCCAGCAAAACCTTCAGACTAAGTGGGTCTGGTTCACTTTGTAAGTAGCAATGCTCCAGAGTGTCTTATGGCGCGCGGCAACCATTTGTGGTATTCAGCTACTGATATGTTAAGGACTATTGATGACGTAACTATCTCAGTCATAACATTATTTGACTGGGAAACCTTGCGTCACATGTGCGGAATAGATTTTATATGATAATTATAATAATATGATAATTATTAATTAATTAATTATTGATTAATATGATATATAAATATTATATATATTATCTTAACTCTTTTATTTACTGCCTTTTTCTTCTTAATGGCAGGGTATGTTGTGAAATATAACTCTTATGAAGTGCTGAGATATTTGCAAAACTCCGGACCACAGGTGTATGCAGTGGGGAACGAACACGCGCTGCTCCCCGGTAAGGACAACAGCGCGTGTTCGTCTCCACTGCATACACCTGTAGTCCGGAGTTTTGCAAATATCTCAGCACTTCATTCGAGTTATATATATTATATTATTATATTATATAATATATACAATATAATATATTATATTATATAATAATATTATATTATAACAATATATTATATATATATTATTATATATGTATATGTATATGTGTATGTATGTATATGTGTGTATGTATGTATGTTTGTATGTACAAACAAACACGTGTTTATGTTTGTTTGTTTGTGTTTTTGTTCGTTTTGTTTTTTTTGTTTGTTTTTTTTTGCTTTTTTGTTGTTTTTTGTGCTTTTTTGTTTGTGTTCGTGTTTGTTTGTGTATTTGTTTGTTTGTTTGTTTGTTTGTTTGTTTGTTTGTTTGTGTTTGTTTGTTTGTCTGTTATGGCTCTTTGTATATATGTATGGA